GTGTTCAATTTATTGCAAGCTATGGCTAACTTCGACATGAAGCTATCAGTACAGAATTATAAATGTTAACTTGGCCAGTGATTAGAAATTTTTTGCAATTGTAATTACATTTAGTCATGACATTCTAACCTAAACATTCAACTTCATTCTAAATTTACCAGTTAGTGCTCATGTATGTTATGCAAAAACTTATTTTATATATTACAGAAGAATGTTTGGACATATTTAAATAAATCACTTGTGAATTATATTTACCAAATTATTTTATGCCTACTTTAAACTCAGAATTTCATAATCAGTTTTTTTCCCACCTAGATGTTTATTTTAGTTATATTTTTAAAGTACAAGACAGATGTCACAAGTTACCTTTGAATCAACTGAACCCTACAGTCTAAATGTAGAGATACAGTAATCTTTTCTCTACAAAAAGGCTGTGTAAGACATCTCCATTATCAACAGGTTTGCTTGTTAAAAATATAGATTTCTGGACTATATCTCACACACGCTGAATCAAAATTTGTAGGGGTGGAGTCTGAAAAAAAATCTATTCTAAAAAGCAGGCCAGTTGATTTTCAGACACTCAAAAGTCTGAGATGATGAAACAATTGTGTACATGTGGTGGGGTGTGGGTGAGAAGGGTAGTCAATTGCTATGGCTGTTAGCTATGTAGCATATTTTCTCCTAGACAAAAACTCCTCAAAACATGAGACCCTTATCCATTAAGAGTCAAGTTTCCACTGGCAAAAATGCCTTGTATGAAACCTAGCCAAACGCAGGACACAGGGAACATGCCACGTGGGACATATGTTCTGCCAGGAGGCCTACTTCACCATCCAAAATGCCTGGCAGTTGTTAGAACTTGCAAGGGGAATTTTGTTTACTTTGAGAGATGCCCAGTAGGTTCCAAAGGTTATTTAGGAATACTGTCACACTGTTGCTAGGGAAGATAATGATCTTTAATTTAGGAGCATCCACCAAATGGGAGATTTATAATCTCAATATTCTTTTTACTTCCATGATCAATAGGATTTCTTAAAAATCTCTTATTTCCAAAAAATACTACCTGACAAGAAGTCTAATATTATTTAATACTAGTTTTATGTTCTCCAAATGCCTTTTATCTGCAGATCAGCTATATGACTATGTATGGTATCATCTTATATTGTTTGCTATGTAACTTTTGTTGAGAATCTTGACACAAATAAATACTTATAGTGAAATAATAGTTTCAGAAAATAAAATCTTGACTAAATAAAAATTTCCTTCCCAGTATTGTTTATTAAAGACTAGAGATTTGATTATCAACAATAAGGTTGTTAAATAGGTACAGGAATAGTTTGAGCTAACAGTTATGTAATTTGAAAATAATGTCTTAATTATTTACATAGAACTATCTTTATATATACAAGTCCTAGATCGGCAATTTAATATGGAAATTTCAAAGAGTCAGAAAAGTAGGGTGAAGTCTGAGAATGCTATAAGTAGACGCTTCAAGGAGAAGGTGACAGATGTTAATGTGACAGACAGATATGACAGAAGTTGGAAGAGGAGAAAGGGAGCATAAGACAGATGTGGCAGACACAAATGGTGACAGAAAAAGCAGTGAGCAGCAACCTAAATGTGGCATGAAGCAATGTGAGAATATGAGAAGGGATAAAACTTGCTTGAATAATAATATAATATTCAGTCATGTATTCAATAAAAAGGAAATGCCAGTATATATGTCTCTGTGACAAAAGGGAAATTATCATTGTTAGTCAATTCTATAATCTTATAAGTTTTTTATAGGATGTTTCAATTAATCCATGTGTTCATCAACATCCATGAAAGACAGGGAGAAGTGAAAGCACAGTATTTATACACTGATATCCCTGTCCTAACAGGAGAGCAAATGTAACTGTCCTGATCTCTATCCTGGGTGTCTAGGAAAGCTGAAATAAAATGAACAGGTGTCTGGTTTTGATGGGCTCAGTGACTCAGTTTCATAGAGGCTGTACTGTTTACTGGTAGCCAGAGGAATCACTTCCTCAACCTCACTGAGTGAAGCCTGACACAGGCTTTATGCTGGTTCCTTGTACTGTGATGAATGCTTTCATCTACAGGTGAGCTACCTCTCTTTTTAGTCACAAATGACATCTGTGGCCTTTGGGATATCTGAGGCCAGAGGAAGAGATAGACAAGAAAGAAGAAAGGGCTAGAAAAACATCTATTGCCGGGCTCGGTGGTTCAGCCTGTAACCCCGTGCCTTTGGGAGGCTGAGGTGAGTGGATTGCCTGAGCCCGCGGGTTCGAGACCCGCCTAGGCAGGCGAGACCTCATCTCTACAATAAATCAAAAAATTAGTCAGGCATGGTAGCACGTGCCTGTAGTTCCAGCTACGTGGAAGGCTGAGGCAGAAGGATCGCCGGAGGCCAGCAGGTCGAAGCTGCCGGGACCGGCCACTGCACTCCAGTCTGGGTGACATAGTGAGACTCCAACTCAAAAAGAAAAACATTTATTTGGGGAAGGAAAGGCGAGAGAAACTACAGGAGTGGGAAGAAAGAGGGAAAGAGGCCACTCAGTTCCATTTGAGCCCTTCTTGTCTCAGTCATGCTCCATGTACTTTTTTTCCTTTTCTTTTTTTCTGTCTGGCAGCCTCCTCCCCTCTTTCTTTGTGTGGTGAGCAGGATAAAGAATAACCACCAAATGCTGCAGGACTGCACCACAGGTCACCTACCTCTCATTCAGCAACTCTTTGGCATTTGCTTTAAAAAGACAGTCCTCCCTCAGTATGCAGAAGGGACTGGTTCCAGGACTTCCTGTGGATACTAAAATCTGAGAATGCTCAAGGGCTTTATATAAAATGGAGAATACTTGCATTAATCTATACAAAGTCTCCTGTATACTTGAAATAATCTCTAGATACTTACTTTCCTGTGAACTTTGTTGATAGCACTCTCTCCTGGATTGCCTATGACTCTAGTTGCTCTTCCTCAGGTTCCTTTTTTCCAGCCTCTCCCCACTTTATTCAACCTTTAGAAAGTAACAGACTTTGCAGAACTTGATCTGAAGCTAACTTCTCTATTTCTTTCCTTAGGGAACCCCATTCACTCTCATGGCTTCAAAGATCATTTATGCCAGTGATTTTTAATCTTATATTACCTGCTCCACATATAACAACTTTTCTAGATAGTTCTACTAGGATGTTTTAGGTACCTCAAATAACAGTATGTCTAAATGTACCCCTCTTCCAAATACTTTATATCAATAACTATACTATTATCCACCTAAGTTTTCACATCAGAAACCAGGGGGTAATCTATGAAATCTCTTTCTTCCTCAATGCCTCCAACATCCTATCTTACCAATCAACTTTACTCTAAATACTTCTGGAATATACTCACTTGTCTAATCAAAGCCACCATGTTCTAAACTGGTCTTTCTAAATGTGTTCGACCTCATTCTATTCCTGCTAATCTATTTTCCACACTGTGGCAAGAGTGATCTTTTCAAAATCCAAATCCAGTCATGATACATCCCTGCTTATGATATTGAACTAGCTTCTGCTTACATGGAAATGAAATTCTCAAGTCATCAGATAGCCATACAACATCTGGTCCCAGTAAGGTCTTCAAACTCACTTAATTCCACTATTCTTCTTGCTTGTTATGCTGCAGTCACTCAGTTCCATTTGAGTCCTTCTTGCCTCAGGCTTTTCCATGTACTGCTTTTCCTTTTCTTTCTTTTTTTTTTTTTGTCTGGAAGTCTCCTCCCCACAACATCACTTCTATTCTCTCTCCAAAATGGCTAATCAATTCATTCTTTAGACATCTGCTTAACTGTCATTCCTTCAGAGAACCAGACTTGGTTTTCTTTTGTAGTATTTACTACAGTTATAATACAGTAATTTTTGTTAATGTCTGTGCTTCCCGCCCCAACTTAAACTCATTCCCCTGAACTGCTAAAGTCCATGAGAGCAGCAACCATGTCTGTTTTATTCATGAGTAAATGCATGTTCATTCCAACTTTGGGATTCTGCTTATCCCAACCCATTAGAGAGCAATGATTTACTCAGATAACAGTGGAAAAAAACAGCAATTAAAAATTCTTTAATTCAACTATAGTTTTCTTGGGGGGAAGGGATTACCCTAACAACTACCTAACTCCTGGCAGGGCATTTCAGGTTGTACATTTTTACCCACAAACTCATTTAAAAATAAGTGAGAAGAGTATCAAGGACCCAGAAGGAGAAGAAATTAATGAAGAAGATTCTACTTCCTCCTACTTAAGAGCAAGCCCCATCATTCTCTAAACTATTCTTTACGGCCCACATTTGCTACCACATTTATATATCAATATGCCTTTTGTCCAAGTTTGGTTAGAAAAAAATTTAAAAAGCATGTTTAAGGAAAATAAAGAACAAAAAGTCTAGTAAAGGCTTTTCATTAAATACCCCTTAGGCAGTAAATCTATTGAAAGATCCTGTATGGACCTCAAATTATAGTAAATTTCTTCAAATTCTGAATGAAACGTAAGAAAAATTTTGAAAATAAAGCCAATTTTGGCTGTACCCTGAATATCAGCCAATGCCATTTAAAAGCATACTATCTCTTTCTATGACAGTCTTCACTAACCCATCAATTTTTTTCCCCTCTCAATTTGTTTGGGCACATCCCTTTTCCCTGAAATCCAGGGTTGACTAAAGAATGAGAAGAACTCTTTATTTAAATAAACTCTAATTTAGCAAGAGCTCTATCTATTTGTGGTGTACAGAATACTATAGAAGATGATCGATAACTGGAATTTAAGATGTTATTTTTTGCCACAATGGGCATGACTATTACTAGCCATATTTGAATAAGCATTCTTGTGTTTTTCCCACAACGAAAATGTAATGGACATCAGTGGTTTTCACCTACTCACTGTGCCAACTTTGTTTTAATTTTCACATTCTCATTTACCTGATACAGATTCCATTATATTGCTTTAACTATGCTTCTACATGTTTCTGACCTACTTTACCTTCACAGGGATGTCCTCTTCCTGGCTTGCTTTCTCTGAGGTGAAGACATATGAAATTTCTTTGTGAGATGTGGTCTGGCGGCAGATGGCACACTTAATTGAGCTTCTGTGAGACCCCACGCTGTACTGTTCAATAATTATAGCAATGCACTCATTACAGAAACAGTGGCCACAGGTCAGTACTGCCCACTAAAAAGAAAACACATAGAATAAGCCTTAGATGCTACCAAGGATGCCTTCTAATCTATACATATATTAAAAAGAAAAGAAGGGAATCACAATTTCACTTCCTAAATATTTCCTGCTATTAGTTTTCTTTAAGTCCTAAAAGCCAGCCATGCCCAGTGGCTCATACATGTAATCCCAGTACTTTAGGAGGCTGAGGCAAGTGGACTGTTTGAGACCAGAAGTTTGAGACCAGTCTGTGCAACACAGCAAGACCTTGTCTCTACAAAAGTCAAAAATTAGCTTGGCATGATGGCACATGCCTGTAGTCTCAGCTATTTGGGAGGCTGAGGCAGGAGGATTACCTGAGCCCAGAAGGTCAAGGCTGTGGGAACCCATGATTGTGTCACTGCCTTCCAGCCTGGGTGGCAAAGTGAGACTCCTGATTCCAAAAAAAAAAAGAAAGCCAAGTTGTACTTTTAAATTAATTACTTTTTAGTCCTAACAAAGTAAGCTTTCATAATCTTAGATGCTGTTCATTCTAACAGTGAGTATAACAGTCATCATTATTCTGTAAGAAGTTGGTGTTCTCATTTCAGTAATTGTGAAAAATGCAAATTAGACTTTCAGCACTCTTACAGCAGATACAATACAGGAGATAATATCATTCTCAATATATTCCATTCAATTTATTAAACAGACTTACAGTTTCATACATTAAAGCACTTATTATATAGAAAATGAGATGAACTAGATCTCATATTCATTTTAAAAGTGGTTCTGTGGAAAATCAAATACTACAGGTTTCACTTATATGTGGAAGCTAAGCTAAGGGTCTGCAAATGCATACAGAATGATATAACGAACACTGGCAACTCAGAAAGCGGAAGATGGAAAGGGGGTGGGATGACAAATATCACCTTTCAGGTACAATGTGCACTAGTGGAGGGTGCTGGGTACACAAAGTCCAGAAATCTTCAGCACTATACAATGGATCCATGTAACCAGAAACAATGTGTACCCTAAAGCTATGGAAATAAAAATTCAAAAAAGTGGTTCTGAAAAAACAAACCAAAACAAAATCAAAAAACCAAAAAAAAAAAAAAAAAAAGCAAAAATATATTTAAAAAAAATACCTTATCCTAGTTCAGTAAAGTAAAATAATTCACTCCAAGTCTCTGCCACATATCATGAAACTCCCCTCCATCTATGAATATGGAACTCATAGATTTACCCTTCCACTCTTAGTTCCATAGAAAAGAACAGCAAGAATAGTTCTATTTGTTCAACAGTAATAGGCTTATCTATCAAATCTTAAAAAGCAAGAATATTTGGATAATGTGAAAGTATATTGATTTATCATAGCAGAAATTTATAGTTTCATAAATCAGTTTGTAGGATAAAAATATGATTGCATAGGGGAGAACTAATATGGTGCCACCATACATACAAACATTTGTAATTAATATTCACAAAGAATATACTTATAATGATCTTCTAAAAATCACATCTAGATTCCCCTAGGAGAGATGTTATTTGTACTCTAAAGACTAGCATTATGCTATATTAATACTGCTAAGAACTAAATAAAATTTCTATACCTATTTAATAACATAAGTAAATCTCTGTGTATTGTACTACATTTCTGTACAATTACTAAACAACTAGGTTAATCTGACAAAGTCAAATTACTTGGAGACAATTAACTGGAAACAATGTTCAAAACTATACATATTTATTGAAAAAGATGGGGCATTCCAAAAATATTTTTTCATTTGTCATTTAGAAAATACATAGGACAAACATACATAACCCTAATTATCTCACCCAAACCTCTGGCACTACATTTAAAATGAAGGTAATACTTGCCTTTCATACAAACTGTAAGGGCGGAGGAACCTGAGGGCGGGATGGGCCTCAACAAGATGGTTCCAACGCGGACCAGGAGAACAATGGGCAGAAGTGAGCCAGCAAAAATGAGTAACCGGAACTAGGAACTAAGACTCCAGTAGCAAAGCCAGCCAGTACCTGTTACAGCGACTCCAGCAACCCCGTTCAGCCAATCGCCAGCAGACATGACAACTGTCCCAGCCAGTGATCGCTCTCCCCATCCCCCTCACAGCTTTCTCAGTGTGCCCTTTATAAACCCGTCGCTCATCTCGCTGGGCGCGACTTCTCCAGCCCACAGTCACATGGACTGGCGAACCTCACCCGGGATCGCGCTAATAAATCTTTCTTGGCTCCTTTGTTGCCGTTTTGCCTGCTCTGGTTTCGTTTACCTTACATTTGGTGCCGAAACCCAGGAGGACGGTGCGGGCCACCAGCGAGCTCCCCCCTCCTCTCCTGATCTGGGACCTCTCTTGGGAACAGGACCTGGCCCCAGGACCTCAGACAACGCGGTGAGTCACTCGCTTTCCCTGTCTTCTCCTTCTACCCTCTGGGGTGCCCAGTCTGAAATCGCAGCTGCATCTGGGCTCACCCCTCCGGTACGGTGCCTTTGGCTCTGGTGTAGTGGAGACGTACCTATCTCCAGATCGCCAATCCTATCAACGGAAGTGGATCTTCCTTTCCGTCCCTATTCTAAGTGGGTCTGGGACCCTGGGCTTGCTTGTTTAGGGACCCAGGAACAGAGGTTGCAGCCATGGGAAGCCAGCCTTCTAAAACTGAAGCTCAGACCCCCTTGCGGTGTCTCATATCTAATCTGAATACCCTGGGGTTGTCCGAAGATATCCGTAAACGGAAGCTGATCTTCCTTTCCTCCCGGGCCTGGCCCCAATATCCTCTGGACAATCAGTCTTGCTGGCCCCCCCGAGGGAACTTTTGATTTCGGCCTCCTCACCAATCTCCCTAATTATTGCCACCGGACTGGGAAAAGGTCCGAAGTCCCCTATATCCAGGCCTTTTGGGCACTGCGCTCCTGCCCAGACCTCTGCATCAGATGTTCCTTGGCCCAGGTCGTCCTGGCCAAATCCCCTGATAGGGGCTATCAGCCTCTCCTTGCGTCAGAATCTTCCTTTACAGATCCTCCAGAGGACCTTGGCCTTCCCCCTCCAGCTCCTACCTCTACTTCTCCTCCCCTCCCGTCCGCCTCTTCTCAAATGTCTGCTCTTTCTCAACCCCCTCCTTATTCAATCTCTGTGCCCAGACCTCTTCCACTCAGGCCCCTCCGGTGTCTGCTCCTGCCTTACCTCCCGTCCTGACCCTCCTATATCCGGCCCTTTCCCCCACCCCGCCATCTCTAATTCCTTTGTCCTTAGCTCCACTCATTCTTGGTTCGGTTGGCTCCCCTCCCCCATCCACTTCCATCCCTTCAGCGACAGAGACACCACCTCCCTCCTCTGGTCCTGTTGACATCACACCTGACTCCTCTGTTTCAGCTCTGCCCCAGCCACTCACCAGCTATACCCTCCTCTTCCATTGTCACCACCATCTTGCCCTCCTTCCACCTCATTTCCTACTCTCACCCTACCGCCATCTTACAATCCTACACCACCCTCTAAATGGACCAGCCCTCCGGTTACCAGGTCCCAGGCCCAGTTACTGGCTCCTCTGCGGGAGGTGGCAGGTGCTGAGGGACTGGTTCGGGTACATGTTCCCTTCTCCCTGGGAGACCTGTCCCAGACTGAAAAGCGCCTAGGCTCCTACTCTGCCAGCCCGACTGCCTACACCAAGGAGTTTCGATACCTCACTCAGGCATATGAGCTCACATGGCACGACCTCCACATAATTTTAACCTCCATCCTCACTCCCGAGGAGCGAGATCGCGTCACCTCAGCAGCTCGTACGCTGATCAGGTACATAACTCCAACCATTCTTTGCCGGTCGGGGCCACGGCAGTGCCTGCTGAGGACCCACAATGGAACTATCAGGATGGTGCCACAGGTAGGACTAGGAGGGATCACATGGTCCGCTGCCTTATTACAGGGATGAAAAAGGCGGCTCAAAAAGTTGTTAACTATGACAAACTGAGGGAGATCACACAGGAGCCTAACAAAAACCCAGCCTCTTTCCTTAATTGTTTAACAGAGGCTTTTACCCTTCACACTCGTTTGGACCCTTCCTCACCGCCGGGGTCCACAGTCTTAGCTACCCACTGTATCACCCAGTCTGCTCTGGACATCTTGTGCAAGTTTAAAAGGGCGGAGGAAGGTCCCCAGACTCCACTCCAAGACCTGGTGAATATGGCCTTTAAAGTTTATAATGCCCGAGAGGAGAAAGCTGAGGCTGTACGGGCCCAAAGGCTAAAACAGAAGGTGGCCCTTCAAACCCAAGCCCTAGTCGCTGCCCTGCGGCTGGCACAACAGGGGCCCCAGGGCCCCCATCTCAGGAAACAGTCTGAGACCCAAACACCTCCGGGAGCCTGCTTCAGGTGTAGCCAGGAAGGCCACTGGGCAAAGCAATGCCCCAACCCCAGGCCACCGACTCAACCTTGCCTGGTCTGCAGACAAGAGAGACACTGAAAGTTTGAGCGCCCCCTGGGGGGGGGGACCATCTCTCGGCAACAGAGTTTCGTGGGGGCTGGCTCCCCCAGCAGGCCCCTTGCCAGAGCTCCTGGGCCTCCTGGGCTACTGAAGCCGCCTGGACTCAAACACCCCAATCACCCTTGCCGAGCCCAGGGCCACACTATGGGTAGCAGGTAAGTCCATCTTCCTTTTGATAGACATGGGGGCTACCTATTCTGTTTTACTCTCTTTCCACGGGCCTTTACATCCTTCTCAGGTCTCGGTTGTGGATGTCTCGGGGGAACCCTCCAAGCCGCTAGAGACGGGTCTGGTTTCCTGCCTTTTTAAAGGCTGTCCCTTCACCCATTCATTCTTAGTTATCCCATCCTGCCCAGCCCCTTTGCTGGGACGAGACCTTCTGTATAAACTCGGGACATCTATTTGCCTCACCTCACACCAAGTTCCCCCAACACCGAGTTCCCTCGTCTGTGCTGTCTTCTCCCTGGAGCCTTCGTCCGATTTTCCCATTTCCCCCAAAAAAGTTAATCCAATAGTCTGGGACACTTCCACTGCTGTAGAGGC